GGTATGGGTGGAGGGATGTCTCGCAACCCCCCCCCCCCCTCCAACGCAGCAGTGTGCAGAGAGCCTGCTTTTAAGTAATAAATCTAGCCAGCTACTTTGAAGCCGAAAATATAAAGATAAGGGGTTCTGAGTCGCGACGGCGCTGTTCCGACTGCAACTCTAAATCTGACCGGCCTGCTGATGGGCTCCGACTCCGACTCTGACTCCGGACCAGTGCACTGCCATAAGCTAAACGGATCACTTGCCGGTACGGGGATGGACGCAACAGTCCCGGACTACTTTGGTAGCTAGCCTCTGCAACATTTGTTGGAGTCTGCTAAAATTTTCAGCATCTTATGGAGGGAGAGGGAGAGAGAGAGAGAGAGAGAGAGAGAGAGAGAGAGAGAGAGAGAGAGAGAGAGAGAGAGAGAGAGAGAGAGAGAGAGAGAGAGAGGATTTTTGATAGATCGTTAAAGGGACACTCCCACCTTAACATTAGTTTTGAGTTGAGATAGCCAAATTGGTGGCCATGGCCTCCAAATACCGGTTTGGGCACTCACAACATCGACAAATGCTTTAATTCGGAAATATGGAATTTCAAACTTGCAGTTTTCGGATTCTAAGGGGCTAGTGCATTGGTATGCCCCCTTAGAATTTGTGACGTCAGCGGAGATCTAACGATTTTTAAATCTTTTACTAAAACGTTTGGTAGCACGCGGTGGTATATGCTGCTTTGCGCGCAACAAATGCCGCACTTTCAAATAAAGTCGCTAGGAACAGCGGAGATCCCAAAAAGTAAACAAAAGTTAAAGTCTAATATCTTGAAAACCGGTGAATATTTTTCGATGAAATTTGGTAGACATTCGTTTTTGCTCTTTCTGAACCGAGCGACATCACTTTCGTGCCAATTCATTAACTTTTTTGAAGGTGGGAGGGTCTCTTTAAACGAATAAAATTCACACTATACAGTCCCGTATGATCTCAACTCTCATCCTGAGCTGAACAGTGAACAGTGAGCACTCAGGAACTGAAAAATTAATTTGCCGCTACCTGTTAATACCCATTATCTCAGTGACCTCCCGCATAAATCTGCATAATTCGTGTTTGGTATACAATTATCAAAGTGATCGTAACCTCTACCTGGAAGTAGGCGCTATGAACAATTGCTTGGCCATTTGATCGTAAAAAGAAAATATTTGCCTGCAAGTTTCATGGATAGGAAACAAAGGAGTATAATGGGCTGGTTATTTTGTGATGTTTTTTATGTAGGAGCCATTGGTTGTCTATAGTTTGAGTGGTTCGAAACGTTTTTTTTTTTTGCATGATAGTGATTTTTCTTGTAATGAGATGGAAGAAAAGAAGACGAAAAACACCCAAGTGTATGATATGCTTTGGCTTCCTTTAGTTAGTTATGCGCAAAAGCCCCAAAAGGTTTCCATTCCATCTTACTTCCATTCGCTTTCGCTTTTCGTGTTTCAATCTCAACAAGGGTGGTGATAATGGTATTTCTTTTTTATCTCGCATAGATAAATCCGAAACAAATTATCTTATCCTAAGTTACTGGATCAATCGATCAGATTTTAGCCCATAGTTCTGAGACTTTCGACAAAACTACTGCGTTGGCATTGTTCTGTGTTGTTATTCACATCATTACTTCAGTTTTATTACATTTATTCTGTTCCGTTCCATGATCGTAACTTATTGTTCAATATGTGCCATGTCCTGATAACAATGCAAGCTTGTTTGTTTGTTTGTTTGTTTTGTTGGGTTAGGCCCTTTCGGTCGACAAGACCATTGCAGAGCCGGAAGGATGATAGGAATTAGGGGGAGACATTGGTCTGGGCAGGCACCCTAGAGAGTCGCCGGGGCTGAGCCCGTCCATAGGACAGGCCGACCAGCCCCCCAAGCACTCTCTGCACCCGGCTACGGGGTGCAGCTCCCTCGGGAGCAGCGGTGCCGCTCCAAGGGAGCAGCCCGCATGAGATAAAGTTGCCTGTCCAGCCCGGAAGGGGGTTGTGGCGTGGAGGAGAAGGATTTCAGTATCCTGAGGATAGAAGCACGGATAGGTGAATGCAAGCAGTCGCGCTCATCCTTTAGATTGGCTACGTCTGTCTTTTCGTCGAGAATAAAGCGGTTCCAACTTCCAAGGGGGATCCGGCCACCGGGGGATCGGCCGGGCCGGTCAAGTTCTCCACTCGTGCTCGCAGACGGTCTGTGCCCTCGGGCGACAGGCGCCGCAGCGGGGTGGAAACTGGAAAGAGTAAGGGAGAGCGGCACCCCACGCGACCTGCCCGGTCACTCTCTCCTGGCTCGCTGCCGTCACGTGCTCTGGGGCTCTCAAACCACCGAGCTCCCGACCTTCAGTTCGCCGGGCCGCCGCAGCCCATGCTGCGGTACTTTCAAGACAGACTGTACCTGTACATCTCAGGATACACAGTCCCCAAGGTTTTGAGATGCCTGAGCACTAGGTACTGAAATTTTAATTTTTTAAGGCTAAAACCTACAGCTTACACATTGATTAGCACTAGCAGTCCAACCTGTAGGTATCGGTATCATGCCAAAGAATATCCCAGTCACGTTGAAAGTTGTGGAGTGGAATTTTTTACACATGTAAAAATTTCAGACCCAGGGCTCTCAAGGTCAGGTCACCAGGTCACGTCAAGTGACCTCACCTCAGAAAAAGTTGCAATCCTCGTTATAGCTACACCGATTGAACGATCGCCTTGAAACTTTCAGCGATTGATATGAGTAACAGTATGTACAAAATGTTTATCTCGGAACTTTGATATCGGTGACCAAGGTCAGGTCAATTTTGCGACCTCTCCATTACACTATGCAACAGTCATTTTGTGCCTGAGTAACGACCGATTTTTTTGGACTCATTGGGTCTCATTATAACGGAAATGGGCATTTGTTTTATCTGAAAATGCTTTTCCGGTTTTCAGAGACGATTTTCAATTTTTGGCCCCGAAATTCGGTTTTTGGCCCAGGCCGTGTGTCCGATGTAATTGAGTAATCGACTCGCGGTAACAAACATTCTAGGTTTGTGAAATAAACATTTTTTCCTTTTGCGAAATACAAAATAGTATTCGAAGTCCGATGAGAAACAGTTTCGGGTAGGTATGTAGGTTTAACATGCGCAGTGGAAGGGTTCCGAGAACTATGCCCAGTGGATGGGGGTGGCGAATGTCGCTCCCCCCCCCAAGATCTCAGTTCCTACGGAAGTCAAAAAGACGAAATTCGGGGGGTTGGTTGGGGACGGTGTGGAGTAGTGTTGCCAGTTGCAGAAAATGTATGTCCAATGTCCGTCCAGCGTATACGGCAGTTCAGTCGACTCTCCGTCCAAAGACGTTCAAGTCAGCCATTTGTCCGAAAGATGTCCGAAAACTACGCAATAATTAACACTGAGCACTGTCATCGGATCTATATTATGATTTATAAGTTGTCCGTGCGTTCTCCATCCATCCATCCGTGTGTCAGACCTTATGTGTCTTATTGCGCCTGAAAGGCGCCGCGTATCGGCGTGAAATTTGGCATGCCGAATCTGTGGGCGTGGGCGGCCTTTGTATTAAAATTTGGGCGTGATCGGACCAGGGGTGCGCCGTCGGCACGTGCAAAAGGGCGCTCTCATAGGGCTAGCATGGTGTCGGCGAGAGCGGCGGTCGGCCGAAAATCGGGCCGACACGGCTCGCTTTCCGGCTTGATATCTCGGCAACGGGTGATTGCAGCGAGAAGCGGTTGCCACCAATGGATAGAGGAGAGTTGGAACTAGCGTATTGATATGGATTTATAGTATAGCACGCGTCACGTGCAAGGCAATACCCCCGGTTGTGAAAAAATGACCGATTTCGTGCATTGTGACGGGAAAATCGATGCCGCTGGAAAACGGTTTGACGGAATGAAATCGGTGTTGTATCATTTTGCAGACAAATGTACGTGTAATGATAGGAAAACAAATAAAAAGTGATGATCCGTACCATTTCCTTAAAAATGAAAAATTAATTTGAAAATTTGATTCGCGCGGAGCGCGTTGTCTTTTACAACATCAAAACGTATTGAAAACGCTGATCAATCGCTATGAAACCTACATATTCGGAAAGAGCATTCTTTTCTGACCAATATCCACCCAAAACATTATCGAAAAGTCAATAAACTTTTATGAAAATGACTCAAGCACACGACCGTGTTTCGCTAGCGTGACACTGTTTCCGACGAAATTTTAATTAATCGCGTCGAAATAGAAAAGGACCACCGCCCGTCCGGGAATCGAACCCGGGACCTAAACGATGGAAGACGGATACGCTACCGATTGCGCCAGAGCGGACTGATGAATGGGAGCTCCAATACCGTAGTACATCAGATCGCGGTTACGATATGACTGAAATTTTAAGATGGAGAGAGCAAGTGTTTCTACGTATATAACTCATATGATTCCTCATATAACATTTTAGATATTTAAGTAGGTACACTTCAAGGTAAAATTTTATTTGCATAGCGTGAGAGATTTATTCATCAAAACTTGATGAAAATTTTCGTTCCCTTTTTAGCCACGACCTTGATTTGTCGCATAGCAACGGGACACGCAACAATAGTGGTAAACAATTTCAGCAAGAGCAGCCGGTGAGTGAATGCACCACAGGCTCGAGCCTCGAGTAATAGGTTTCGGTGTTGGGATGACTGTTGACTATTCGAGAGGCGATCGTTTGAGTGAAATTTTGCGCCTTTTTGTGCGTATTATCTGCGCTCACTTGATTGTTAATCGTCTCAGTAAGCCCTGATGTGAATTTCCTTGCTCAACGGCTGATCATTGAAACTTTGCGCGGAGTTATTTGATTGAGTAATTCGAGTCATTCGGGTAGGTACCATACCTGCCGTTAGCTTGATTACTCATAAGTTGTCCAAAAGCATCATCTACTGTCTGCACTTTTGCCCAGCTAACTTAGACAGCCATGCCGCGTCATGATCGGGGCAGTGCTGCACGGGCGGCGAATGCTGCCGCTCAACGCCGGCGGCGTGAACGGATGGCTCAGGCCAGGCGGGAGGCCGAGGCGCTCCGTAACGCCGAGCGGGAAAGACAGCGACGGGCGGCCTTCGATGAGGCACAAAGAGAAGCGGACGCTGAACGGCAGCGACAGCGACGGGCGGCCTTCGATGATGCTGAACGGCAGGCGGACGCTGAACGGCAGCGACAGCGGCGGGCTGCCATGGATGACGCCGAGAGAGAAGCGGACGCTGAACGGCAGCGACAGCGGCGGGCTGTCATGGATGACGCCGAGAGAGAAGCGGACGCTGAAAGGCAGCGGCAGAGGTGGGCTGCCATGGATGAGGCTGAACGGGACGCGGTTGCTGAAAGACAGCGACAGCGGCGGGCGGCCTTCGGTGACGCCGAGAGAGCGGCGCACGCTGAACGTGAGCGACAGCGGCGGGCTGAATTGCCAGACGAGGTACGTGACGCAGAACGGGCGGCCAACGCGAGGGGTCACATAGAGGGGCGCCGCAGAGCCGACCGGGCCAATCGAGCCGCCTGTGACGCCGACTCTGTGCTGTCCGGTCGCCAGCCGGTGGCCAGGCTCGACACGGGGGCACGCGACACGGTATGTCCGCACTGCGGCGCCCTCCTCTGGCGAGAGGAGCGGGCCACTCTGTGCTGTTCGGGGGGAAAGGTAAACCTAGATCCCCTGCCCGCCCCGCCACCGCTGCTCCGTGAACTGTGGACGGGTGACACGCTGGAGGCACGCACATTCAGACAGCACTCCCGGCGCCTGAACACGGCGCTGTCGCTGGCGTCTATGATGACACGGGAGGTGAGGCCGGCGGACGGTGGGTATGCACCATCAGTGATCATTCAAGGTAGGTTGTACCACCGCGTCGGTCCGCTGCAGGCCAGAGACGGGGAGCGGCCGTCGTTCGCCCAGATTTATGTGAATGACCCGGACTGTGACGACCCGGCGGCCGAGGCCGCGCTGCGTCTAGGACACGTGCCGCTGCCCCGCGGCACCCGGGAGCCGGAGCGGGCGCGCCTGCTGACGCTGCTCGAACAGCTGCAGGTCCTGCTGCGTCAGGTAAATCCCTATGTGCAGGACTTTATCCACGCCGCCGAGCTGCCAGAGGAGGAGGTTCAGCAGCAGAGACTGGTGGTAAGTGCCGACGCCCGCCCGGCCGACCAGCACCCCCGACGGTACAACCGCGCCGAGGGGTTCCGGGAGGTGGCCGTGCTGATGGACGAGGAGCCCGTCCATCAGGACATCGTGCTGCGTCGCCGTGCCGATGCCGAAGGTCCGTTCCTCCAGACGGTAAATGAGACGCACCGGGCGTTTGAGGCTCTGCACTTCGTGCTCCTTCTGCCGTTTGGCACAGACGGCTGGCAGCCTGACCTACGGCAGGCGGTGGCAAACGGGCGCGGGGACGTGAGGGGCGTGTCGCTGATGCAGTACTACGCTCATCGGCTGCAGCTGCGACCCGACCTCGATGACTCACTGTTCCGCGCAGGACGCCTGTTTCAGGAGTACGTGTGCATGGCTTTTGCGCGCGTAGAGACCCAGCGTCTGCTGTACCTGGCTCGGAACCAGGCCGGCCTGCGTGCCGAGCTGTACCAGCGCCTACAGGACGCGCTGCCGGGGGACGCCGAAAGGGAGCTGGCCGGCGGAGACCGCGTCGGTCAGCGTGTCATCCTGCCGGCTTCCTTCACCGGCGGGCCCCGGTACTACCAGCGCAGGTGAATTATTTACGAGCGCGTTACATTGCTTATTATGTAGAAATCGGTTGTTGAATCAAATGTTTAATCCGTGCCCTGCTGGGGGGGGGGGGGAAGTGTGATTTTGAACAGCCCCCCCCCCCGCCCCGCTGGGGTTTTTCGTGAATATCTCAAAAATTGTTGCCACCGTTTTTGGTACACATCATAATGCATCTATTCTGCATGTGTTGTGAAAATTGCATACCAAGATCACTCAAGGTCAGGTCACCAGGTCATGTCAAATGACTTTAGTTACAAATAGAGCCTCGCCGAAAAAAACATCGTGTAGGTCGTTACGAGACGAAGCCAACGGTACACGGTTTTAAGGTCATAGGTCAAATGGTGACCTCTGAGGTCAGTTCAATTACCCAAAAGTCGGGAAAACCGGGACCTGTTAGAACGTCGTAAAGTGTGGCTGTTATGGGGTTTCCGGGGTGGTTATCACGAATATCATATTAGTTTTGATCGCAATGATGTCTTCATGCATTAAGGTCAGGTCGGGTCAGGTCAGGTCAGGTCAACCAGTAGGTGTTCTGCCGGGTATTCGCGGTAGGTGTCAACCGTCTCTGTCAGCTTCATAACATGTTCCGAAATCCGAAGGCACCAAAACTACTTCGTACATGTTCAAATGGTCGCTAAATTCGAATTCAGCTCCAAAGAATAGCTAGCCTCGAAACATGTAAAACTCGAAAAGTGAGCCGAGGTCATCAAAGGTCAATGACCTGACCTGACCTTCAGGTGACTTTGATACCCACCCTAATGCCTGGGACCAACATCATATCACATTGTTTGAACGCTTGAAACCACGAAAAGACTGCAAACGCGCGGCTAATGCGAGCCGACATACTCCGAATCGCGATTCCGGCCAAACATGGTCTCGAAAAGTAGGTCACAGGTCAAAGGTCATTTGGGTCAGGGTCATGAAATTTTCATGATATGACCGTGTTCATGTAACTACGGATATTCTGGGCTCTCGAGAACGGAAGGGCTCTATTTTGAATACTGATGACGTCACATTTGTGTGGTGAGGTCACGAAAGGCCACAATTCCAAAGAGCCACACAATCTCATCCCCCCCCTCTCTCTCTCCCCCAACCAGTTGGTCGCGTTGTGATAGGTGTATATGTCAGCCTTTAGATAGGATTTTTGCGATACTTCATTTCCTCATTTGGTGTTTTACCTTTGTCTCAATGAATCAGGTACCAAGACGCCATGGCCATCGTGCGAGTGTACGGCAGGCCGACGTACTTCGTGACGTTCACCTGCAACCCAAACTGGCCTGAGATCCAGGCGGCGCTCCTGCCCGGCCAGGATGCGCATCCCGCCCCGATCTGGTGGCCAGGGTGTTCCACCTGAAGCTGAAGGCCCTGCTGAAGGAGCTCACCACCAGCGGCATCTTCGGACGCTGTGTCTCCATGCTGATGGTGGTCGAGTTCCAAAAACGAGGTGAGTAGGCACTAAAGGTTTGTGTTCGTGTGTGTGTGTGGGGGGGGGGGGAGGAGGGAGTGTGAAGGAAACCAATACAGCTCATCATGCATCAATTTTACGTCGTGTGCATAATTTTAGCGCTCAGGTCACTTAGGTCAGGTCGAACTTACAAGTCTAAACCGCAAGATTTCTTTTTTCAGAATCGCAACATCTGCCCAGTTGCAATGAGCAAAGTGCAGCTTATAGCCAGCAGTGGCCCGAAAGGTCATGTTGGTTCATAAAAAGTCACCACATGACTTTGACCTGAAGTTAATTTTTTAAGGTCCTATTCTATCTCAATCGCCGCTTAAAACATTATTTACTTTCCCTGCAGGTCTGCCGCACGGCCATATCCTGGTCATCGTCCGGCAGGAGGACCGCCCGCGGACTGCCGACGATGTAGACGCGGTGATCACGGCGGAACTGCCCGACCCGGCCAGGTCAGACCAGGCGCGCCGCCTGCACGAAATCGTGGTGAGTACCATGGTACACCGCCAGTGCGGCGCCGCCAACCCGACGGCCGCCTGCATGGACGGCGGCCGCTGCTCCAAGGGCTTCCCCAAGCCGTTCGCCAACGAGACAGAGTGGCGGGATGACCATCCGTACCCTGTCTACAGGCGGCGACCGGCGGCCGAGGGCGGCCAGGAGTTTGTGCGTGACGGGCGGCTCATCACCAACCAGTGGGTGGTACCCTTCTCTCCATACCTGTCCCTGAAATATGAGGCTCACGTGAACGTGGAGGTGTGCTGTTCGGTGCAGAGTGTCAAGTATCTTTTCAGGTACATCTACAAGGGCCCGGACCGCCAGATGGTGCGCGCTGACAACCTGATCGGCGGCGATGACGAGATCGCCGAGTACCAGGACATGCGCTCGATCGGCGCCAGTGAAGCCTGCTGGCGTCTGTTCGACATGCCGATGAGCCAGCGGCAGCCGAACGTGGTCGCTCTACAGGTGCACCTCGAGGATCACCAGCTGGTGTACTTCGAGCCGGGACAGGAGCGGCAGGCGGCTCAGGCCGCCCGACGCACCCACCTCACCGCCTGGCTGGAGTATAACCGGGAGTCGGCCGCCGCCGACCCGGACTGCCGCCGACTGCTCTACCCGGACTTCCCGTCGCGGTATACCTGGCAGGCCGGCCAGAAGGTGTGGCGCAAACGGCGCCAACAGCAGGCGGCAGAGGCCATCGGCCGCGTGGTGAGCCTCTCACCGCGTCACGGCGACGTGTTCTATCTCCGCGTGCTGCTGCACCACGTCGCGGGGGCGACGTCCTTTGAGGAGCTGCGCACCGTGGACGGCGTGGTCTGTGCCACCTATCGTGAGGCGTGCTGCCTGCGCGGCCTTCTGCAGGACGACCGCGAGTGGGAGGTGACGATGGAGGACGCGGCGCACGCACAGATGCCGGCTCAAATCCGGCGCCTCTTCGTGACGCTGCTGCTCTTCTGCGCACCAGCCGATCCGTCAGAGCTGTTCCGGCGTCACCTGGACGCCATGTCTGATGACTTCGGCCGTCGTCATCGCGACCTGCCGGACGAGCTGCGCGCTGCACTAACACTGGTGGACCTGGAGCGGCAGCTACAGCAGGCCGGCAAAGAGCTCCGAGACTTCGGTCTGCCGGAGGTGACGCCCGATCAGCGGGCGCGGGCAGCTGAGCTGCAGCAGGCCGCCGAGCTGCGCCAGCTGCCGCGGCTCATTCAAGAGGAGCTGGAATATGACGCAGCAGCGCTCAGAGACCAGGTGGCCATCCAGCTGCCCACTCTGCTGCCGCCGCAGCGCCACGTCTTCGACCTGGTGATGACGGCCGTCGACGGGCGGCGTCCGCTGGCCGTGTTCGTGGACGCCGCTGGTGGCACCGGAAAGACGTACGTCTTCAACACGCTGCTGGCGGCGGTGCGCTCGCAGGGTATGGTAGCGCTCGCAGTGGCCTTCAGTGGAATTGCTGCCACTCTGCTGGACGGCGGGCGCACATACCACTCGCGTTTTAAGGCACCGCTGCAGGTGGACGCGACATCAACGTGCGCCATCAGCGCGCAGAGCCCGCTGGCGGAGCTCATCCGACGGACGGCGCTCATCGTGTGGGACGAGGCGCCTATGGCCCACCGTCACCACCTGGAGGCGTTCGACCGCACGCTGCGTGACGTCACTGGCAGCGAGGAGCCGTTCGGCGGAAAAGTCCTCGTGCTGGGCGGGGATTTCCGCCAAATTCTCCCAGTCATCAGGTAACTAACAACAACAGGCGTTCAGTGTGTATGAGAAAAAAGTATATACAAAAATAGCTGTGGTACGTTTGTTGTTATAAATGTGCAATTGAATACGACTGATATAATGCTCTTCGGCGCAATCACATTATTGCAGTTTAACATGTGAAATAAGTCGTAGCCATGAACATTCAACCGCTATGCCTTCAAAACGTATTCACTGATTTATATCGATGCCAGCGTCGTAAACACACTGCCGCAGCGGATTGATCGTAGACCGCATGTTTTGTGGTTTATTTAGCTTCGCCCTGGTGGGGGGGGGGGGGGGCTTTTTGACCACACTCGCCAGTTTACACTCACACTCGCCCACACAGTGAGCCCAGTAAAGAAATCTGGGCTAAATTTGTTATGGCCGAAAATAAATTCACTGTGCATCGTATGAGTTATTTCTTACTTCCGGTCACATAACGTCAACGGGTCTCCAGATTAAGATTAAGACGGGTCATCCAGCAGTTTTTTGCGATAACTTTAGGTAAACATGTTAGAACGATACAAACGCGTTAGTTAGATGGATTCAGTTAAACAATACAAATCGACAGTTATGACACATTACCTTTACCGGTAGGGTCACGACCTCGACCCTAGGTCAGATTTTGCAGTCGGACTTTTGAGGTGAGATTATACTTCATTCGACGCGTCTCAACGAGCGGAATGCGTCGCTGATAAAATTGACAGTACAACCTTGATGAGAAAGTTTCGCAGAAAAACGTTTCCCGAAAAATGTTAATGCTTTAGTTTTTCCCCTGTGGCTTAGACCCCCACCAGGGCGCCGGCTAAACAGCCATTTCTGAGCATTAGTGGCCGTCTCGGCGCGTTTTTATATGCATCTTTTGTCCGTTTCAGGCACGGTACCCGCGCACAGGTGGTGGACGCCTGTCTGCGGCGGTCAGCGCTGTGGCGTCACTTCATTGTGGCGCCGCTGCTGGAGAACATGCGGGCGCGGCGGGCAGCCGGGCCGGACGGTCCAGAGCTGCGGGCGTTCTGTGACTGGCTGCTCGAGCTGGGAGAGGGGCGCGCAGAGGGCCCCGAGGATGGGTTCGTTCAGCTGCCCCCGCACCTGGTGATGGATGCCGATATCGACGCTGTCATTGACTGGGTGTTTGATGACCTGGCAGGGCGACACGGTGACCGAGAGTGGATGGCGTCGCGGGCGGTGCTCGCGCCGCGGAACACTCGGGTCGACGAGCTGAACGCCGCAGTCACCGAGCGCTTCCCCGGAGAGGCCGTCCGCCTGCTGAGCGCCGACAGTCTGGTGGAGGAGGCCGAGCAGCTGGATATCCCACATGAGTATCTAAACACTCTGTGCGCTCCCGGCTTCCCACCTCACTGCTTGATGATAAAGCCAGGCATGCCACTCATGCTACTTCGTAATCTGTCCGCCACTGACGGACTGTGCAATGGCACGCGACTTATCGCTGGTCGTATCATCAGCCCGCGACTCATGGAGGCCACCATCGCCTGCGGCAAAAACGCCGGAAGGCAGGTGCTAATTCCACGGCTCCCACTCCAGCCCCCGGATGACGCGTTTCCCTTCCGCTGGGAGCGTCGCCAGTTCCCCGTGCGGCCAGGTTTCGCCATGACGGTGAACAAAGCCCAGGGGCAGACGCTCGGTCGGGTCGCGGTCTTTCTGGAGGAGCCAGTGTTCAGCCACGGGCAGCTGTACGTGGCTGCATCGCGGGTCGGCCGGCCGGCGGATCTGAGGATCGCGCTGCCCAGAGGTGGCCAGGGCGCAACACCCAATGTGGTGTACACGGAGGTGATGGGCCGAGGTGAAGGCCGGTAGATCCACGGGTCGCAGAGGCGACGGGTAGCCAGAGCGCTACGAGCAACGCGGAGAGGAGGAGCGAGGAGCAACGAGGAGAAAACGGCCGGCCGACCGTGATGCAGGACGGATCAATCATGGCGAGCCAATGCGCCGCCAAGTGGAAAATTTACACATTAACATAAAATGCCGCAACTGGCTTTGGTGACCTCCAATGCGCGAGCGCAACTTATATTTTGAGGATAAATCAATGTATTGAGTGGCATGTTATAAAACATGTTTGATATGCCCTGATGATATATTTGATTTTTGATGATATATTTTGATATTTGAGAGCACATCTAACAGTGGGCGTTTGCCCCCAGCTATACAATCGGCTGCGAGTAGCACACACCGAGTACTTCTCGGGGGGCCTTATTGCCGCTGCCCACGGCCGCCGTGTCTTCCCTCACCAGAGGTGTGCGCTCTGCACTCGGTGAGGGGTCTCGGGCGTTAAATAGAGACGCAACCCGATGTGGCAGCCTCCACGTGGCGGGTTGCGGGGTAAAAGCTAATAGCCACACAGAGCGACACGTAAGTATTTCACTGTTGTATTCACTAGATTTGATTGCGTTGCAGAAACATGGCATGTACTGTCACCTGCGCACTGCAGCTGCTGCTTCCACTTCTTATCACGACATGACTTAGTGTCAGCCCCGAGGAAGACAAGAGGACGCACGAGCGCTGCGCTGGATTCTCCGACAGCATCTTCTTAGCCGCGGTGGTGACTGATACAACCAGCGTCTTACGGGTAAGGCAAGAAATAAAGCATGGTTTGGTATGTGTTGAGTAGAACTTCTGGGTAGGGTAGGGTAGTGTAGCATATGGTAGGGTTGAGTGCATAAGGGCCAGCATGCGAAAGACTCAAACAACCCGTAATCAGCACCATCATACCATACACTTTAAAGAATCAAATTTCACCTAACTCATACAAATAAAAATCAACCTCATACATCAAACTAATGGCACCATGAACAATAGCCATCGAAACGTACAGTTATCGCGTTCATCCATCCATCCATCCTGGGTAGGGTAGGGTATTGTAGTGTATGTTAAGTTTGAGTGCATAAGGGCCCAACATCCGAAAGACTCAAACAACCCGGTAATCAGCACCAGCATACCATACAGTTCAATTAAAACCAAATGTCAAACTTCACCTAGCTCATACAAATAAGAATATAACCTCATACACCCAAACTAATGCCCCCATTAACAATATCTATCGAATCTATACAGTTATCGCGCAAACATGGCCATCTAGTCGGATATATTATAAAAGAGAAGTTGTCTGTGTGTCACAAACGAAAAGTGTCATCCACATCTGGGTGTCTTGCGCCGGAACGGCGCCATGTAGGGGCGTGAAATTTGGCAGGCACCAAGCGTGGTCAAATCGAACGATGGTATTAAAATTTGGGCGCGATCCGACCAAGGGTGCGTCTCTGGCAGGGTCGCGAGCACGAGGCACGCTCGCCATTGGTTTAACACGGGGCGCGAAAAACGGCGACATCGGCCGAAATCGCTCCGACGCCTGCTCCTCTCCGGGCCTATATCTTGACGACCGGTGGTCACAGCGACACGCGGTTGCCACCGATCGATAGAGGAGAGATAAAGCTACCGTATTGATATAGTTTTATAACGTTGGTCGCGTCACGTGCACATCAGGACCTTTTGTTGTACAGAAATGGACGATTTCGTGCCTCGTAGACATAAAATCGGTGCCGTTTGAAAACGGTTTGGCCGAATGAAATCGGTATGGCACCATTTTTTAGGTAATTGCACGTGTGATGCAATGAATGAAAAGAAAAAGTGATTTTTACTACCACTTCCTTAATAATGAAAAATTTATTTGAAAGTGTGATGCGCGCAGAGTGCGCTGTCCTTTACAACATCATAACGCATCGAAAACGTTAAAAATTGACCATGAAACGCACATATTCGGATAGCGCATTCTTTTCTGATCAATATCCACCCAAAATATTATCAAAAAGTCAATAAACTACCGTGAAAATGACTCAGGCATACCACAGTGTTTTGTTAACGTTAGACATATTTTCCGATGAAATCCGATCGATGGCTTATAGCCGGCATGTCATTAAACATTTGACTATCAGTCAGCACGGCATAGGCTGCAAGGCACCGCCCGCTTAGGGATATCGCAAACCCTTGAAAATTGTACTTGCATATAACTCAGTCGTTTCTGGGCCGATTGCGCTGAAACTTGGACTTTCGGCAGGCAAGGCACTCACCAAGCGATGTACGGTCATGTGTCACAGGTGGGGTGGACTCATGCACGTGCGCACGTGTGGGGTCCCTTTCTACATCTCAAGAACGGCTGGGCCGATTTCACTCACATTTTGTACACTGTTAGGGACAATTTAGACAGGTGGCTTACATAAGTCATCTGGAGTCTCAGTAAGCGCGTGCGCACGTGCAGGGGCCCATTTATATATCTCAAGAACCGGTAGGACGACAGCACTCAAATGTTGTGAAACTCTTTGGTCAAGTATGAGTAGGGCATGAGTATGCCGGGTATAGGTAGGGTACGGTATGGGAAGGGTAGGGTATGGGTAGGGTAGGGTAGGGTAGGGTAGGGTAGGGTAGGGTATTGTATGGGTAGGGTATTGTAAAGGATAGAGGTAGTTTTGGGTATGGGTAGGATAGGGTAGAGGTAGGTTTGCCGTTTGGGTAGGGTAGGGTAAAGTTGGGTATGATAGGGTAAAGTTCGGTATGGTAGGGTATAAGGTAATCGTAGGGTAGGGTATGGGTAGGGTATGGGTAGGACTAGGGTATGGGTAGGGTATGTATATTGGTAGGGTAGGGTAGGGCCTTTTGCGGCTTTTCCTATTGGCGGCGGTTAGGCGTGCGATGTGGGCGGTTTCCTTTGTTGCGGCGTTTGCGGCGTTTTGCGGTTGGCGGCGGGCAGGCGTGCGATTCGGGCGGGCGGTTTTTTGCGGCGGCGTTTGCGTTTTTGCGGTGTTTGCGTTTATCGGCACGCGGTCGTTTTTTGCGGCGTTTTGCGGTTGGCGGCGGGCAGGCGTGCGATGCGGGCGGTTTTTTGCGGCGGTGTTTGTTTGGTGGCGGTCGGGCGGGCGATGCGGGCGGTTTTGATTTGTTTTCGGCGTTTTTGCGTTTTTTTGCGGTTTACGGCGGGCGGGCGATTTTTTATTTGTTTTTATTTATTGCGACGTTTGCGTTGGCGCTTCGGGCGTGCGTTTTGCGTTTGGGGCGGGCGGGCGCTTTTTTGGTTCCTTTTTTCGGTGTTTGCGTTTGGGGCGAGCGGGCGCTTTTTTGCGGTGTTTGCGTTTGGTGGCGGGCGGGCGATTTTTAGGCGTTTTCGGTTGGCGGTTAGCGTGCGTTCGATGCGAACGGTTTTATTTTTGCGGCGTTTTTGCGTTTTTTTGCGTCGGGCGGGCGATTCTTTATTTTTTTGCGACGTTTGCGTCGGCATTTCGGGCGTGCCTTTGGCGCATTTTGCGGTGTTTGCGTTTTGCGGCGGGCGGGCGGCGTTTCACAATTCAAAGTCCCAACATTCGGATCTCAATTGCTCCTCGAAAAGCCATACACACCTACTATACAGTTTAATGAAGAAACTACCAAACTCTACTTATTAAACCTAGAAGTTTTGACAACCAAACTGATAATCCCCTTAATATATCTCGAACCTATACAGTTATCGCGTAAACCTGTATTCTAGTCGGATATATTATAAAAGAGAAGTTGTCGGTCTGTACGTCTGTGTGTCACAAACGAAAAGTGTCATCCACATCTGGGTGTCTTGCGCCGGAACGGCGCCATGTAGAGGCGTGAAATTTGAAAGTCGACAAGCGTGGTCAAATCGAACGATCGTATCAAAATCTGGGCGCGATCCGACCAGGGGTGCGTCTCTGGCAGGGTCGCGAGCACGAGCCACGCTCGCCATTGGTTTAGCACGGGGCGCGAAAATTGGCGATATTGGCCGAAATCGGTGCGACGCGTGCTCCTTTCCGGGCTTATATCTTGACGACCGCTGGTCACAGCGACACGCGGTTGCCACCGATCGATAGAGGAGAGATAACGCTAGCGTATTGATATGTTTTTATAACGTTGGGCGCGTCACGTGCACATCAGGACCAATTGTTGTGAAAAAATGACCGATTTCGTGCCTCGTGGAGGAAAAATCGGTGCCGTTTGAAAACGGTTTGACCGAATTAAATCGGTGTCATTCCATTTTTTAGGTAAATATACGAGTAAATGAATGATGGAAAACAAAAAGTGATTATGTCTACCATTTCCTTAATAACGAAAGATTTATTTGAAAGTTTGATACACGCCGAGTGCGCTGTCTTTACAACATCATAACGCATCGAAAACGTTGAAAATTGACCATGAAACGCACATATTCGGATAGCGCATTCTTTTCTGATCAATATCCACCCAAAATATTATCAAAAAGTCAATAAACTTCCGTGAAAATGACTCAGGCATACCACCGTGTTTTGTTAACGTTAGACATATTTTCCGATGAAATCCGATCGATGGCTTATAGCCGGCATGTCATTAAACTTTTGCCAATCAGTCAGCACGGCATAGGCTACAAGGCACCGCTGGCTTAAGGATATCGCCAAACCCTTGAAAATTGTACTTGCATATAACTCAGTCGTTTCTGGGCCGATTGCGCTGAAACTTGGACTTTCGGCAGGCAGGGCACTCACCAAGCGATGTAGGGTCATGTGTCACAGGTGGGGTGGACTCATGCACGTGCGCACGTGAGGGGGTCCGCTTCTACATCTGATGAATCCCTGGGTCGATTTCACTCAAATTTTGTACATTTTTGGGGACAATTTAGATAGGTGGCTCACATAACTCATCTGGAGTCTCAGTAAGCGCGTGCGCACGTGCAGGGGTCCATTTATATACCTCAAGAACAGGTAGGACGATAGCACTCAAATTTGGTTACACTCCTCGGTCAAGTATGAGTAGGGCATGAGTATGCCGGGTATAGGTAGGGTACGGTATGGGAAGGGTAGGGTTTGGGTAGGGTAGGCTTTGG